GATTAAATATTTCAAATGAACCACAGCCCAAAACCCAATGATATTGAATATTATAATGATTTTAAAACAAACAAATGAAACCAGATAATTAAAATATTTGCCTCATAAATAACCGAAGATTCATTCTCTGTCCATTCAACTAGTCTATTAATTAACCATCATTTCAGTTCTAATTGGATGGACAAGTTTCAGATCTTGAACCACCCTGACACTGAACTTTAAAACCAAGCAAATACAGGTTATAAATCGTTTTCAGTGTAACTCAAGCTGTCTGAAAGTTTGGTTAAATCAGATCTACACTGTGAGGTAAAAATTTCAATAGCTTATTTTTAACAAGGTGCCAATTTTCTGAAAAATATACAGTAACATAGAGAGCTACCGCAGAGACACACACACAGGCTGAATAAAGTGCTTTGATATGGTAAATTATTATTAAAATATGAGCGCTGCTGTTTTTGTTTTCTGTGAATGACAAGCAGACTCTCCTCTCAGTGCTCGGGCTGCGTCCGTCAGTTTAATAATTTCTACCTTTGCTTTAGGTGGTAGTTTGATGAGTTGACTGTGGTTAGAAATCATCTAATTAAAACAGCAGAGGCCATTTGAGATGATTCATTACTTCCATTAAAGGCCGGCGGTTATGTGGCTATTATGCGGGTTTATGACGTTTTGAAGTAGATATGAAATGAAGCATTCGCTTCACTAACTACACCAACAACTGTAGTGCAGCCTTCAGTCAGACTCAATAACAAGCACGCACTGTAAACCACTCAATAAATTCGACCTTTAAAAACAAGTCATCCGCAGTGTATTCTCATCCGATGATTTGTCGCTGAAGTCCAAGATTGGGGGGAAACACATGGGGAGGCAGCAGCGGTGGGTGAAATCAGGTTACTTCACACTGTGAGACTTCCCCATGAACCAACTCTTTATTCTGACACCAGAACAGCACAAACTCTAATTACCTGTGCTGGGTCAGCGTTCTTGCTGAGGAGCACAAACTCTCACTAAACAAAGTAAAGACCCTTCTCATTCTCCAGATTATTTATGTACATTTTCAAAAAACATGGGGTTGTGTTTCTCTCTTAGTAATTTTATCCTCCAGATTCTTTGATGTAACTCAACTCTATGTCAGATAACATTATTATCATTATTAACCAGCAGTCCTGTTGTTCAAATATTCATAGAACAAAACATCATAAATTATAATTAGCTTTCTATTTCAGATTATGCATCATGTTCTGATTGAGTCTGCTGGAAACACAAACCAATTTAACAACTTCAAAAGTATCTTTAAATAGTTTTTACCATCTTAAGACTTCACAACTTCTAATTGTATAAGAATTGTTAGTAGACATGAATGTGAACAGATCATAGTTTGTATATAAGGATGGAAAAGTGAAGCCAAAACATCTTGATCACCACCTGGTGGCTGGCTAAATTATAGGTCTTGAATTTGACCTCATCCATGTTAGTGAATGGGACATGGATCACATTTTTTTTCAAAGATGGTTCCTGTCATTCTAGGTAGTTCCTCTCACTCTGATGTATGTTCAAGTGTTAATTCTTCTGCTGAAACATCATGATTGACAGCTGAGACAAACTCACAATTGGCCGTGTGTGTGTGTGTATCGGCGGGATCTCACTTTACCACCGCTCCATGCCCCGATTGCTACTGCACAGACTCGAGATGGCAGCATTCGTAACCAGGCTATTTTGGCTTCATTTCTGGATGGTGGAAGGAAGTGGAGACATCTTATCATACAATCTATGGAACAGATTTTATGCTTCAGATGACTTCGACAGAAGAAAATAATTACTACCCGTTGTAGTCCATGTGCAAGAGTGAGGACTTTCTTCACATTAAATGTAGACTAGTTATTAAGATGTTACTGACTGTGTAGATTTGAAGGCCACAGTGAGGCAACAATAGATTCTCCTGCTGGGCTACATGTCTTGATAATTACAGGAGGAAAGGCTTTGGCCCATCCTTGCAGTCAGAGAGGAAATACTCGAGCCACAACCTCTCCAGAGTGGAAACAATGGCTGCATATATATGATTGTAAATAGACTTACTGCACAGTTATTTGCTATAAAACCTAAATCCACGTCAAACACATGGCAGGTTGTGTGCAGTCCATTACATGTTTGGTAATTGAACTTTTAGTACCTTCATTAAAATTCTGCTTACGAGTGCGGCCTGCAGAGCAACAATAACAAATATTGCGTTTCCTCACTGCCAGCATTATGTACACACTACACAGGCTGACGACAGTGATGGTGGTGGTTCACGATTCTATGAGACAGAACTGGTTTTCACCTCCAAATGATGAAGGATTGGTTGGCAGATTGTGTCCAACTGCACCTGGTGTATTAATAATGAATCAGAGGTAACTTATTCTGCACCTGCACTGGCAACGAGTACAAACCGGTGCATCACAGGCAGGGTGATCATGGTGTGGCAGATGTAAATAAGCACTAAGCATTCACTGGGTTTCTCTCAATGGTTCGCTCTTTGGTGACTTGAGATGACATGCACTGCTGTAAACTGCTCATCTTTCTGCAATAATCTAATTTCTGTAACAATATACAACTAATTCCCAGTTTTCTAAATGATATACAGTTAGAAGAGTTCCTGAGAAAAGGTTTTATATGTATTTAGTATTTACATGGTTGTCTTTAATGGTGTTGAACTGTACTGCATCATTTTGACATGTGTTAATAATGTGACAGACATGAGGACAGAAGAATATTAAACACACATTTCATTACTGTGGTACCTCAATCATATACACATTGTTATATTACCTCTCTCTGACTCTGTCAATTAAAACTGACAACTGTCTTTACAAAGGTAAAATTTATAACTGAGCTATTGTGCTGGTTTACAGTAGCTTCTCTACCTGTATCACATAAAGTGGCGACTGAATGTAAATAAACCAATTTACATTTGTTTCCACACATCAACAATAACATTTAAAAGGACAAAGGCTGCAGAGTCATCACATACATTTAAATGTGCCTTTTCAATAATCCTGTGGATAGCAGAAGAAATCCTACTGCTTGTAGATGGCTATGTGAAAGTAAAGAATTGATAAAAAATAAATATAACATGCCAGGTCATGTGCAGAAAGATGGTAGAAGTTTGCGGAGACATCTCATCAGGGACAAGCTGCATGTATCGACTGGTTTTATACTTGCTAAGTGGTGCTGTCGTCCTTCTGAGGCCTGAAGGATTTAAAGGATTGTTTTGAGTGAAAGTATATACACTAAGCCAAGACAGCTGTGTGTGTGTGTGTGTGTGTGTGTGTGTGTGTGTGT